TTTGCATTCATCACAGGGGGTTTGCACATGTACATAGCACATCGAATTCTTTTTACTTCCCCTTCTTATCCTTTCCCTTCCCTCCATCTCACACTACTTAAAAACTAATTAGTTTTTTTCCCACTCATTTGTAATATTACCTCAGCTTCCTGTCAGGTTTCCATCTGTTTGTGGGTCTTTTCTCCTTCTTAATATCTATCTAGCTGAGCCTTTAAAAACTCATTTCCTTTTCAAATTTGTCTGGTCTATTAAGGTCACACTTGTACCTTAAAAATATCTGCCTTTCTCCAGTTTAGTCAGCCAGCTTTCATTTGTCTTTCTCTCTTGAACTGGTTTTGTCCTGGTAGCATGACAGAAGCATATTTGTAAAAACCACCCATGTCCTCCTTGGCTTCCTGAGCAAACCTGTCTCCCCAAGACAGAAGCTGCTCAGTGTCAGCCTCCTGAACCATCATCTTGGGTTAGTTTGGGGGTTTTCATGAGGTTTTTCTACCTCAGCCCATGAAGAAGCACATCTCCTCCTGTTCTTCTCATCTGTTTTCATTAATAAACCACACCTCTATTCTGTAGGTAAAGTCAGAGTCTGAATTCCCCAAGTCCAAAGCCACGTTCAAGGCTCATGCAAAAAACAGTCAACTTGCGCAGCCAAAAGCTTTGCTGTCTGAGAGATCACAGGAAGCACAAACCTTCTACCCACCGGAGCTTGAAAGTTTGTAAGCTAAAGCTCTGCCCTCTTTAAGGTAAGCCTTCTCCGTCCAGGGGAGAAAGGCTTTTTTTCCCAATAATCTAATCCCTGTTCCAGCTGCCTGCTGAGGTCAAAGCTTGTACTCACATGAGTTAGGTCGAGGCCACCTGAGTGGCCTTGTACTCAGGTCTTTGCCAGTTAAAATCTTGCTGAACAACTGGAGTAGGCCCAAACTGCCCAGGTCAAGAATCCATTTGACCCACAATTTACCTTTAAGCCCAGAGCCCTGATTGCACCAGAAATTTGATCTTCACATGTTTTTTTTTTTGCCCTTAAATGTTAGTCCTTGTGTCTGCCTAAGTTTTCTGAAGAGAAAATTTTAAATTTTAAATTAACGTGAGTTTCATGAGGTGATATTTAATTACATTCTTTTTGGCCTTTCCAAATTCCAAACCCACCGAGGAGGAGATGCAGGAATCATGATACTAGAGCTCCAAAGTATCAACTTTATTTTGAAGGCTGATTGGAAAATATGGCTTAATTAGGCATGTTTTCCCTCTAGATCAAAGGATTTATTCAGTCATAGGCTAGGTTACTGCAGATCCCAAAGTGGAGCTGCACTAGATGACTAGCCCATCTCCAATTGTACTCTGCATTCACTGACTATCCGTGTTTTCCTTCTGGGATAATGATAGCCCCTCCTAACACCTCCAGTTGTCCACTCAGGCCTCTCACAAATGTCATCTCTGCACGAAGTGTCCCTGAGTGTTCTCTACTCCCAGTGGTCCCCGCTTCTCCTTTCTGAATACTTTGCCTCCTTTATTTCAACTGATGGCATTTTTTCCCTGTATTTACTTAATTTTAACCATCCTACTACAATGTGGCTACCGTCAAGTTCCCATATGTGTTTTTGCCCTTGACCTCATGCTTCAAATGTAACAAGTGATCCACAAATATTTACTCACTTGCCTGGCATTATTATAATCCAGTGGTGCTAAGTCAGGGGTGATTTTGCCCCCTAGGGGATATCTGACAATATCTGAAGACATTTTTGGTTATCCCAAAACAGGGTGAGGGGGCTGCTATTGGCATCTAGTGGGTAGAAACAAGAGATCCTAGTAAGCCCCCTCTAGTGCACGAGAGAGCCCCCCATGACACAAAATTATCTTGCCCAAAATGTCAATGGTGTTGCAGTTGAGAAAGCTTACCATAAACTAATGAGTGCTCCTTTTGATAAGGTTAGCAAGAAGAAATGAGAGGAGATCAGTGTATCAGTGTGGGAGGAAATTCTCCCTAGGAAATTCATGCCTATTTTTTTTTCTTTTAGAAGCTAAGGTTGCGGTAAGTACAGCGCAAAGCTCTTTCCTAATGCCATAGAGGTGCCCTGGGAGCACAGATGGTATTTTCACCGCTTGCTGGCTTCAGAGCATGGCGAGTGACCTCCCAGGAATCCTTGAAGTGTTAGGAATGTAACTCTGTTAAAGAAGAAAACTCAGGGCTGCTTAAGTCCAGCAAAAAGTCAAACGGGGAATTGTGCTCCTCAGAGAGGGCAGGGCAAGTGTTTCTGAAAGCACTCTCTCTTGCTACCCCAACCAAGGTGAAACTTCAGAGCAGGCTCTGGAATCAATGATTGAAGGGAACCTGAAGTCCGGTTGCCTTTTCCAAAAAAGTGGAAAGGAGCTTGAGAAAGGGTTCTGTGTGCCACGTGCTTCGGTACACATCTCATTTGCACGAATCTCATGTGCTGGAGACTCGAGGCACGTGGATCACTTGACTGAAAACACCAGCCCCATCAGAGCAGAGGTGACCGGCTTACAGGTACCTCTCATGTTCTTACTCACCCAACCCAACCGGTTCCAGTGACTGACACGGAAACAGAGTAATATACGCTCTGAAAATGAAAGGTAGGCTTGGTCCGAAGGAGTCTGACAAGGCCAGGAATAGGGGTTGACATATTATTTTTTTTAAAATCTTGGGCTGGGGATTTAGCTTAGTGGCACCATGCCTGCCTTACAAGAGCAAGGTCCTGAGTTCGATCCCCCATACTGAAAAAAAAGAAAACCAAAAACATACAAAGAAACAAACAAAATAAAACTTTTAAAAAACCTTGCCCTTGGAGTAGAGTTACCTGACAGGCTGGCTGGGACCTAGCAGTGGTGTGTATGCTTGAAAGAACAACCTTGAGCGCAGTTGGCACAGACAGAAATGCCAAGCAGAGGATTCTGAGAGGGGCCACCCCTTCTTATGGACACTCTCCAACTTTTATGCCATAAACACACACACACACACACACACACACACACACACAGAGCAAGGTGTGACTGCATTATTGGATTGTTCTGCCTTTTATCCAGGAAATAAACCTTTTATTTTTGTCTACATATTTGACGAAGTGCCGCTCACTACGTGATTTGTTCAGCTCAGTTTTGAAGACAAAAACATACAGAGTATTTGGCAGATTGTGAACTGCAAAAGTATTTAATGATGACAGTAATTAGGATAACAGAATAATATGTATTGAGTGGATGGTTCACAAGACTTTATATATATTAAGAAAATATAAAAAAGGATCATTTGAAGAACCAGATGGGTATCCCCAAAGTAACTGCAATTCTATCAAGAGTGAACTGGAAAAGGACCAACAGTGTTCCTAGGTGGTATATATTTATGTTTGAACTAAACTAAAAGTTATTTCAAATTGGATTACTTGCCCCAAAACTCAGTTTTCAATTGTTTGGGAACCTCATTCATTCAGTCATTCAACTTTTCAATAAACATTAGTTTCTTTTATTATTTATGTTCCTGTTCAATTATTCCTTCTTTTACTCAACATTTACAAACTCCCCTACTGTGGGCCAGGGATTGCGTTAGTCTAATAATATACAATGGCAAATAATTCTTGCCCTTGGGAAATTTAGACTCCAGTGAAATACTCATTCTTTCTTTCATTCCCTGAAGGAAGTATTTACTGTGTGCCCAAATGTTTTGGGAATACAGCAACAAAAAGCACAGGATCCTCAGATAATGGAACTACATCATAATGGGTAAAAGGAAGAGCAAAGGCAAAGATTTTGAGGCAGCCGTGAGCATGCTGGAGGCCAGGTAACAAAAAGAATATGGCACCAAACGGGATGGAAAAGGTGACTAGGGGCTGGATTATGTACCACCCCACAGGGCACTGTACAAACCCATGTTTGTACATTCCTGCACATATACAAACACATTCCTTCCTATTAGATTACACACTCACCCATAAGATTTAGCTGTTTGTTATTCAGCCTTAATAACATCAGATGAAAGTTACTTATAATAGTCAATATCTGGGGAAAGCTAATGATACCTTTGTTAGAGCTGATCTGAGATCTAAAAAAAAAAAGAGCTGCCTTTCTTTTCTTGCCAAGGGCTTCTCGATAAGGTGGCAGGAAAAAGAAAAGGGCTCCATCTTTGCAAGTCTGTAGCCCTCCATGTTCTCCATAGGCTTCCAAACCAGAGGCCAGGTGAAGATTTGCTTGTCCAGGTGAACTGTCATGAAAACTAAGATCCAGAGCAAAGAAATCTAGGCTGTGGAATTTACTCTCAATTTGGCAGAACCATGTGCAAAGTTTGAAACACTTGTTTGATGTGTCCATAGTATCCCCTCTACCCTGATAAAGTTGTATAACATTTTTCAGTACTTAAAGACTATGCAAAAAGTCTCTTCTTTCCAAACAGACTGCCACCCTAAATCATTCCAGTATACTGATTGTGGAAGAGTCATTATATCTGTAAATCCGTTTCTCCATATGTATACTACTACAGAATAATATGTGACTACAAGCTTGGTTTCTTTCATGTTTTTGTTTAAAGAAGTGGTGCCACCAAGACAGGAGGATTGCAAATATCAGGCTAGGCTGGACAATTTAGTGGAACCCTGTTTTAAACAAAACAAACTAGGCTAGAGATGTAGCTCAGTGGTAGACCTTGGGTTCAATTCCCAGTATAGCAAAAGAAAAGAATAAAGGACAGTGTTGTTATTTTTTATTAGCCCTTAAAAGATACGGTTAAAACAGAAAAGAAAACCTCCAAGAAGCTCATCTGTAATTCTCAGTAATTTAACCCAGATCCTGCATCTAGGGAATCCTCATAGGTCCTGGATTCTAGACAGCCAAGTCTAAATCCAAAGCGACTACAACTCAAGGACTACAACTCCCAGGAGACACTGCGTCCACATCTGCGCACGCTCAATTTCAGTGACCGCGTAGGGCTTCGAGCCCGAGTGGGCGGGGCTTGGAGTAGACTAGGGATTGGGGCGGGGATAGAGGTGTGGCCAGAGGGGGGCGGTGCTGCCGGCTCGGCCCGGAACACGCTAGTGGAGCGGAAGATGGCGGCGGCAGCAGCGGCCGCCTCTGGGACCACTCTCTGGCTTAGGTGGAGGAGCCGCTGGCTCTGATCTCGCTCTGGCTCCTGTGCGGGCGGCGGGGAGTGTGCGAGGCCCGGCGCGTCGGGCAGGGGCGGCGGCCATTGCGCGCCGCCCTGAGGAGCGCCCCGGCAGCGGCGGTTCGGCTGCGGCTGAGGAGAGAACCGGCTCCGGGCCTCCGCGTCCTCCTCCTCCTCAGGACCCCCGCCTCCTCGGGGGGGCGGCGGCGGCGATGTTCTCTGTCCTCTCGTACGGGCGGCTGGTGGCCCGCGCCGTGCTCGGCGGCCTCTCGCAGACCGACCCTAGGGCCGGGGGCGGCGGCGGCGGTGGCGGTGGCGACTACGGGCTGGTGACGGCGGGCTGCGGCTTCGGCAAGGACTTCCGTAAGGGCCTCCTCAAGAAGGGCGCGTGCTACGGGGACGATGCGTGCTTCGTGGCCCGGCACCGCTCCGCCGACGTGCTCGGTGAGTCCCGGGCCCGGTCCCCCTGCCCCGGGTCCGCCTCTGGGGACTCCCGACGCGGGGCTTCCCCGTTTCCCCGCGCTCACATGCCGGGAGCGCTTGTTGGCAGCCCGGCGCCGTGCCAAGCACTCCGAGGGGCGGTTTTCCTTTCGAACAAAAGCCCCCACCCCCATCTTAGGAGGAAACTGAGGCGCAGAGCCGTGGAGCCACGTGCTCAAGGTCACCGCTGGAGAATGTAACCAGGCTGTCCCCATCCAAAGCCGCACTCCCATTAGTCACTTGGCTTTGTCGGCCTCAGGCAACCAGTCCTCTCTCTCTCTCTCAGAGACACCTGCAGGCTCCTAACCTCGCTCTGGTTCCCTCCAGCCTTTCTCTGGGTGCCCCAGGGTTCTCTGGTTCCTTGCGTGCTCCTGACGCCTCAGCCTGGCCACCAGCTGCGGGATCGATCCCAAGCAGGCAAGACTCCTGATTCCCTCACCCCGAGACAGCCCAGCCGCATTCTCTTTGCCGCTTAGATCGTGACCCCATCTTCATTTTCGGAGTTTTCGCAGTAGATGCTAGTGGCCTGGTGATAAAAATTATTTTACTGTTTTCTCCCAATACGATCTTGTCCACTTGAGTTCACTTGGGGTGGCAGACATTCTCCTTGACCCAAAATAGAATGGTCGAACCTGCCTGCAGACTGCTGCCAAGAGGGCTTTGAGAATTGGTGTGAGCCTTTTGAGGCCACAGGTGCTTCCCAAGGCCTATTCTAGTTGGACCATTGAGGAGTGGGAGACAAAGTGCAAAGAGGGGTAAATAAAGTTCACAAGCAATCAGAAACTTTACTGAAAGGTACATCTTTGAAGATTTTATGTGTGCCACAAAATTGTATGTCGTTAAAGCTCTTTTAGTAAATCACGTCCTTTGAAATTGAAGGACATGCTGTCATTGAATTTTAAGTTCAACTGTCTCTTTCGTTTTCTCAGGTGAGATCAAATTTTTGATTATTTTAGATTTCATATGGCAAGGTAAAGTTTGGCATTGGAACAAATGATTTTGTAAGTTTTTTATGACAGTAATTTTTTTTTTTTTGATACCGGGGATCAACAAACGGAACCTTGCGCTTTCAAGGCAGGCAAGTGGAACCAGAGCTAAATCCCCAGCCCCTGAAAGACTATCTTTTTAAAGAGATTGTCAGTACCTTTTTCTGCTACATTTAGAAGTACTTCACTCAATGAGCTTGTGACTTGGTTTGCATTTAAAGTACCAGTCAGAGTGGGAGTGTAGCTCAGTGGTAAGGGTGCTTGCCTGTAGCATGCCTGAGGCCCTCAGTTTGATCCCTAGCACCACTATCACCAGAAAAAATATCTACAGTTGGAGTCATAATACAACAGGATAGGGGATTATGAGCCACTAAAGTTTACCTTATAAATCTGCTTATAAAATAGGCTTTTGTGAAAGAGCTGTGGTTTCCACAGTTATACTTTGCATGGTTTGTTACCTCAGGTCTGAAAATGGTAAATGGAAAAGTTCTAGAAATAGTTCATAAGTTTTAAAAATTGCAGGCCATTCTGAATAGCATGATGCTCTCCTTCACGTTATCCAAGTTCTGTACACTACCCATTACTACTTGGTAGCCATCTTGGTTATCAAATCTATTAATCAATTGGGAGGGATCCATTCACATAACTTATTACAGTGTATTGTTTAAATTGTGCTATTTTACCTCTAGGTATTGTTAATCTTGCTGTACATAATTTATAAATTAAACTTTCTAATAGGTGTATATGTATGTAATAGAGAATACAGTATATATAGGGTTCAGAATTATCTGTGGATTCAGGCATCTACTGGGGCCTTGAGATGTAGTCCCATGGAGAAAGGGGAATTTAAATGTGTCAAATCCCTATGCTGAAGCTTGATTTTAAATTTTAGAGTGCTACTTTCATGGTGGAGTGGCATTAAACTGGGAAATTTTGGTCAAAACTCATTCTGTAAAGCATAAACATAATTTCATGCTCTGGCATTCTGACAGAAAAGTTTGAGATTCAGTTTTTTTTTGGTACCGGAGATCGAACTCGGGTTCTTGCTCTTGCGCAGCAGGCAGCGAAACCACTGAGCTAGATCCCCAGCCCCCAAGATTCAGTATTTTTTCTTTTTCTTTTTAATTCTTTTATTGGCACATTTTAGGTATACAATACATTTACATTTATCATTGGGTGGTTGTACCTGTACATGATGAATCTTGGTTCTTATTTTTTTCCTCATTACCTGTGCACCATTCACCCCCTCCACCCTTCCCTATTTACATAGATTTTGTTTCCATTTTTTTTTCTTTTCTCATAAATTTTCCTTTCCTTTCTTCCCTTTCCTTTGCTATTTAGTAGCTCTGTGATTTGTAATCTTAGGTGGAGCTTCCCATGAGTCTTATTTTCCTTATCTAGACTAGGATGAAGGGAGTGGACTACCTGGCTTTTTTTTTTAAGAGTACAGCTTCTGACAGTCAGATCATATTTTTTCTTTTTCTTTGATAGTAACTCTAATAGCATGCGTTACCTCCTATCTTGTTTACATAACACTTTCTGTAGATACCTTCTGTTTTATATCTAAATCAGTACAGTAGTTCTTAATTTGCATCATGTCTGTCCAAAGGCTCACTTCCCCAGAAAAATGTGCACAGAGACAAAAGTTCACAAATGCTCTCCGGAACGTCACTGACTGCATGTAGTTCGTCCATGTGCCACCTACCTGCAGGTCCATGCATGGCTTTCAGGTTGAGATCCCCAGCTCTACCTTTCCTAAAGGAATGTCATAAGGTACAACCAGTCATGTGGTTGCTTATGTGACCAAGGAGTAATGGTCGGCCAGACTTCGGACAAAGATTGCACGTGTGCACATGGCAGGGATGGGGACAGTGAGGGACAGGTTCTCCAGGACTGTCCTGTTGTGGAGGAGCTCTTCCAGAAAGCCATCTTGGGAGTCACCTGAAATAACTTTCTAAGTTGGCCTCATTTGATCCTTGGGTGCTGTGATCCAGTTAGGATGATGGTAGCTTTAATTTTATTGACATTATCTCATCACAGGCTGGTCTGATTATCTCTTGCTGTGAAAAGTGATGAATCTCAGTGGGTCTTTAAAACTGCTTTCTGTTCCAGAAGTTGGAATTATAACCTGAATTACTTTAAAAGGATCTTTTGAAAAAATAAATAAATAAAAGGATCTTTTGAGCTGGGCATGGTGGCACACACCTGTAATCCAGTACGCTGGGAGGCTGAGACAGGAGTCATGTAAATTTTGGCCCACCCTGTGCAGCTTATTGAGATCCTCTCTCAAAATAAAAAAACTACCTGGATTTAGTCTGCAATACCCCCACAAAGGCTATGTTGAACTTAAGTGCTTTTGAACTTTCTAGTTCTATAGATAATTCTTTTTTTTATTCATTAATTTTATTGGTGCATTTTAGGTATACAATATGATGGCATCCCTCATTGGGAATTTGTACCTTTGCATGATATACCTTGGTTCTTACTTTTTTCTCCATTCCCCTGCCTTCCTTTCAACTCCTCCACCCCTCCCTATTTATAAAGACATTGTTTCCATTTTTTCCTTTTCTCCTATTTATTCCTTTCCCTTCTTTCCTTTCCCCTACCCCTTCCACTTCCCCTTCTCCGCTGGACCTTTTCTTCCTATTTCACATTATCTTATACATTTTAATTCTTACTTACAGATAATTATTTTTCTTTTGATTGAGAACATATTTATTGCTCAGTATCTGTGGAAGTTAGATTATTCACTGTGGTCATTTGGGACTCCTTAACTGTTAGAAATGAAAGCTGTTTATTTCTTTGGTGACAAAGGAAATGCTATTTGGTTTCTTTAATTTAGAATTGATCTGTCCTATTAGTCATTCAGTGACTAAAAGTACTTGGTGCTTTACAACATTTTTGTAGTCCCCACTGAATTTCTTTTAGGAAAAACTAACTATGGTGGGTGTGGTGAGACACAAGAACCCCTCCTATCCCCTGGAAAATTGGCAAAGGTGCTTTGTCTTTATTAAGTTCAACAGGAGTAAATCAGTACCCACGAGAGCTATACTGTTCCTTCTTCCCCATGGCTACTCCTGAGTTCTCTTTTTCTCTATATGGCATGGCTTCCTGGGTACCCAAATATGAGAGCTGCCTAGTGTAATTACTGAGCATCCCACAGCCCTAAGATACTTAACAGTAGAATCAGACTGTTGAGAATTGTCAAGATTTAGAAACTTTGGAATCCTATTCCTTCATGTTGGTGATGAGAAAACAGAGGCCTGCAATAACTCTAGTTATTGGCAGAAGTAGGGCCCCACCTATTTTCTCCATCCCAGTTCTCTTTCCATATATCACTGGTCAAGTTTTCTTGATAAGATAACATGAATTTGGAACCAGTCAGTCTCCTGGTACTGTTTGTCTTTCTAATGCTTTTCCCACTTAGGAGTGTGTGTGTGTGTGTGTGTGTGTGTGTGTAACTTCTTTATTCACTCAGACTCATAACTGAAATGTGACAAAAACTCCTCTGCATGCTAAACCACAGTTTATGGAAACCACTTATTTTAAAATGGCAGCATGGTCTATGCCATGTAAATTCTGACCTCTGAATATTGAGTTAAAAAGCAATTCTTGTAAAACTGTGGGATGTTTGTTTAAGGTTGGTTTAACGAACCTAAACATGAAAATAAAATAATTTCAGGCCAGGGATTTAGTTTCATAGTACTGCCGTCTGCCTTGCAAGCACAAGATCCTGAGTTCAATCCCCGGTACAAAAAATGGAAAAGAAAAGAATTTCATATTCTAGCCTTTGTGATTTTGACTGTGGCCAGGATTTTGAATTGTTTTTTTGTGAGTCTTGCCAGTCTTAAAAATAACCTTAAAGTATAAAGATTATGTGAACAATAAACTGATCTAAATTTTATATAGGAAGTGAATGCATTAGATAAATTTGATATTTATAGTCATCATGATTTTTTATACTTGATAGAACTTCTG